GGGGGGGGGGAGACTATGGTGTGAAGGGCGGGGAGGGCAGTGGGCTGACTGCGGCGAAGGTGGGCAGCGTTGACAAAGAGGGGAGGCGGGCGGCGGGGTGGGCGTTTGCATCTGAATATTAGATCACAGCTCATGGTCATTATATAATCAAATGTAAGAACTAATTTCCTAGAAAACCAGTTAGCAAAGATCACATTTACGTGCTTTTTATAGGCTGGACGCCCTGTTAAGCACTCTCCAAACAATGCTTCCTTTTCTCGGTACAGCAACCCTATGAGATAATAGCGTCCCATTTATATAGATGAGGAAATTCAGGCTCAGAGAAGTGAAGAGACGTTCAACATTGTGCAGCGAGTGACAAACAGATTCAGGTTTATACCAGCCCAGACCCCAGAATGGTTTTGCTTAACCACCAGGTGACCTGCTGGACTGAAGCCTGAACACTTGCCCAGTGTTATAGGAAGTCAGCTGTTCATTTTAATGTTATGGTTTTCTTTCCTTTCTTCCTTTCCCCCCAGAGCTTGTTCCAAGCTATTTTAAGGAAATTAAACTCACTTGAAAGCAAGGAGGAGCTGTTTTAAGTATTTGAGTATAGCCACAAAGTAATTTGGGAGAAGTTTTGATGAGAACACAAGAAACACAAGAAGTAGCTGTTTTGAAGACACTAGAAAATTTTGTGAGCCCTTGAAAATTGGAGAATAACTTAGACTCCTAGAATTTTTAAGACTGAGTAAATCTTCTAAAGAGGAGTTACGTTTTTTTCTTTAAACACCAAGAAAATAATAATAACCTACAGGAAATCACCAAAGTTCCCCAGGCCCATAGACAATAATGTTATTTTATTTTAAAGCTGTATAAAAGTTTAATTATACATATTTGTGAAGTCTTTAGAATAGAGCTTTTGTATTACAGAGCAGATGGCAAGCTAATGGTGACAAATACCTTTCACCATTTCCTGTAACTGTTACAGTCTCCTCTCCCAACTTCACAAGGGCTAAGAATGCCAGTGCGAATTGTCTGACATGCATTCCACCCAGGTAAAAAAAAAATCATCCCAGAAGACTTGGAGCATGTTCTGTCCCCTGAATTGAAGACAACTACTTACTGCTTCTGGTTGCTGTTGGGATGTTTGAGTATAGTCGGATGGGTCTGCTTTTTTTTCTTCCCTCTGCTATTTTTTTTTTTTTTTTTTTTTTTTTTTTTTGGTTTGAAAAATTACAGAATTTTTCCCAAAGTTTAGTAATATGTAACGTGTAGTGATTTTGAGTTCTTGAAAATTACTTGAGAACTTCTCACCGGTATTTTGTTGCTAATAGATTGACACCCCCTGTTAGAATGGAACAGAAGGCAGTAGACGTAGATATGGGCACTGTTAATGAAGGATGCTCTGACATGAAAGGTTTTGGTAATTGTTGGGAGTTTATTACTAGCTTTGTGAACTCGCTGTTACTAGACTTGTAAACTTGTTGAGGGCGTGAATTAGTAAGGGCATAGTAAAGCTGCTAAATTGCTTTCTGAGCTTGGGCCAATCACTGGACTTCAGCTCCCTTACATGTAAAAAGAAGGGGTTGCACTAAATTATTTCTAATTATTTTATAGTGGCACAATAATGTTATTCTGCCCATCGTAGTACAGACTTTCTCCTAACATAACAGCTTTGTAACTCAAATGGATAAAGGGAAACTTAAACGTGAGAGCCTGTCCTGTAACACTGTATGCACCCCCATTTCACAAACACTGAAACGAAATCTGAGAGAAGTTAAATCTGCCCACTGTTGGGGCGCCTGGGTGGCGCAGTCGGTTAAGCGTCCGACTTCAGCCAGGTCACGATCTCGGCGGTCCGGGAGTTCGAGCCCCGCGTCGGGCTCTGGGCTGACGGCTCGGAGCCTGGAGCCTGCTTCCGATTCTGTGTCTCCCTCTCTCTCTGCCCCTCCCCCGTTCATGCTCTGTCTCTCTCTGTCCCAAAAATAAATAAACGTTGAAAAAAAAAAAAATAAAAAAAAATAAATAAATAAATCTGCCCACTGTTGCCCATCTACTAAATGTGAGCTCAAGTTCTGGGATCATTCTGAATTCGGAGCCTACAGTCTTTCCACTCTGTGCCTCTAAGCCTGGGGACGAGGATCCTAACAGTGTGCTAACACATTCCTGAACCCCAGGATAAATAGCACGTATACCTTGAGCATCCTTTTCATTCAAGGTTTGCAGAAGAAAGATTTTGACTTGTGTGTTTTTTGAGAAAGAGGGTCAGACACAGGTTTTCGTTTTGCTGTCGTTTTGCATTTGGAAGGTGGTATAAGATATTTTCATGTTAAAACACCCCAGGTCTGTATTATGGAGTACAGATTTCACACAATTTTGGAGGTAAATTGAGACATCAAAGATGTTTCCCGTTTTCTGGCAGGGCATTTCAGATGCTTTTAAGATGACAATTTCATTCCCTCCTTTTTTGTTGTTGATGTTAATACAATAGTTTTATTGAGATAGAATTCACATATTATCCAGTTCACTCATTTAAAGTGTTTTGTGGAGTCCTGGAGCCATCACCACAGTCAATATGAGAGCAGTTTCATCACCCCCAAAAGATACCTACTGCCCATTGGAATTTCCTCCTCATTTCTCCCCAGCCCCTTGGCCCAGGCACTACTAATGTACTTTCCATCTCGAAGAGATTTGCTTATCCTAGGTATTTCCTCTAAAAAGTCCTACAGTAAGAGATCTTTTGTGAGCGCCTTCTTTGACTTCGCATAATGCTTCAAGGTTTCTCCCAAGTTGTAGCGTATGTTCATTCCTTTTTATTGCCAAATAATATTCCATTGTATGGCTCTGCCATACAGTGTTCAAAATGCAAGTTCCTGGCTTTTACTCCAGCTTGACTGAGCCGGAGTTTTCCAGGTGTGAAGACTGGGCAGCTGCACTTGTAAGGAGCTTCCCTCAGTGACTTTTAGGTCTACTGTGCTGTCATAGATGATATGCAAAGAGAATTGACAAGGCTGGCAACAGATGCTTTACCCAGGGCAGCTCTGTGGTGAGACAACGGGGAGGCTGTTTTGCAGGTTTGGGGACCTAAGGAAAGGAAAAAGACTTGGGGGTGCAGAGAGTGCATTCGGCCTGGTGTACATCAGACCTGACTTGCCTGCAGAGCTGCCTGTGCGGTGGGATTGGTGGCGAATGTCAACTGGTTCCTGAGGGAAAGAGCCAGGGCAGCAGATTATGGTTTTAAAAAATGTATTTAGGAGTGTCTGTAAGATACCGCACCACCTGTTTGCTGTTGTAGTTCACTCTTTCTGGAAACAAACATTTGTGCCTGGGAATGTAGCTGTACCGCAAGAGAAAACAGGGAATCCGCCAAGTTCAGCTTTCATGGTCTCCACGCAAGTTCTAAGGTTGCTGGAACCCAGGGCAGCAGCCTGCACAGCATTGTGGTATGGCCGCACTTGTGCTGACGGTCCGAGGGAGGAGGCGAGTTGTGCCTAAACACTAGGTCAGGAGCACCAAATACCGAATGGAAAGAGAAATGCTGCTGTCTGTCTCGATTCTTGAGTGTTGATATTGCTGAGCTGTAGCCGGGGCTGTGTCTGTGCAGAGTGTCTCTTAACTCTTTTCTTTGGAGCAGTGATTTGATTTTGCCATTCTGTACTGGTTTTGGTTTCCTGGATGGCATCAGCAACGGATGGTCCGTGCACCACACCCAGAAGGTAGCCCATCTCGGGTTAAAATGGTAGACTCTGCAGGCCCAGAGATCCTCACCGACAAGATTCTGTGCCTTTCTGATGTTTGCAATTGTTGAGTCCCCTGGTTCCGAGAGGGTCACAGCTTCAGTCAACAAACGTTTGAATGACTGTACATACAAAGATCATCTACCTGGTGGTGCGTTTGAAGGAAAGAAGTCTCTGTCTTCAAGTCATTGCGGTTTAGTTAGGAGAAAGAAGAACACACAAACGGCTCATGAACTTAATCATCATGTCAGCTCACTGCTGCTTACACCTGGGACCTCCAGGCACATACC